TCAACACAGCGGCAAAAGTTGAACTATTTTGAACTTTAACTCAGTGGAGGTGTGTCCTAGTCTGCATCTAAACCATTGAAATATAAGTAAATGGGTTCACAGACTGAATGACACTGGGATTTGATTTGATTGGTCTGTACTTGATCTTTTTCCACTGTCCAACTCTTCACACATATCCTTTCTTTCAACAGCAATGGAAGATTAACCCGTCCACATTTGTCACGTATTGGATTTCCTTCTGCATTGCTCTGTATCTGTCAGTCTCATTCTCCTGTCGACTCGGCCTCTTTTTGATAGATCATTGATCTCCGTCTGAGAAGCACTTACAGTAGATCAATATCTAAGAAAGATCACGTCCCTCTCAAAGGACGCACTAAATGCTTCTTCAAACGCTCACAATGTCTATTTCTCTTGACAAACAGATGATGTGCTCCATTACAGCCATCATACAAGCTGATTATATTGATAGAGGACACCGAAAGACCAGCTGTCATGTCAAATTTGGAATGCATTTATCAGTAAAGCCTGTTTTTATTACATGAAATCGAATAAGGATGTGATCGAAAACACATTGATCTTACTGTTTAATAGTACATGTGAACATATTTTTAGAGCATTACAGTATTGTTCCCTAAAATGTAATAGACGAACTTCCAGATATTTTTTTAAATGAACCAAAAATTCTTATTTTCTTTTCCTCATATTCTCTCTTTACTGTCTAAATTATTATTATTTGCCAAAATATATACACAAATTATTATTACAATATGTGACCTTGAACGGAAATTACAAATGAGGTTTAAAAAATGCTTATTTAATTTGTTACTTGTAAATAGTCCATAATCTTATTTGATTTTTTTGTGATGCTGGACCACTAAACCAGTATTTACCAGTAATTTTGCAGATATATTGAGAAATAGTCAACAATATGATATAGAGTCAAAATGATACATTTTTCATTTATGGCAAAAATTATTAATTCATTCATTTTCTTTTAGGCTTAGTCCCTTTGTTAATCCGGTGTCACCACAGTGGAATAAACCGGCAACTTACCCAGCACGTTTTTACGCAGCTGATGCCCTTCCAGCCACATCCCATCTCTGGGAAACAACCATACACACTCATTCAGACTCATACACTACGGACAATTTAGCCTACCCAATTCACCTGTACTGCATGTCTTTGGACTGTGGGGGAAACCGGAGCACCCGGAGGAAACCCACAAGAACGCAGGGAGAACATGCAAACTCCACACAGAAATGCCAACCGACCCAGTCGAGGCTCGAACCAGCAACCTTCTTGCTGTGAGGCAACAGCACTACCTACTGCGCCACTGCGTTAAGGCAAAAATCATAATGAAAAAGAGTTTGATTCTAATTGTTTTACATTTTGTACCATAAATATATTAAAATATAAAAAAATAATGACCCCTATGATTTTGTGGTCTGGGATCACATATAGGCATGGGATGATAACCGGTTTCAAAGTTTACCGCGGTTAAAAATTTTCTAATATTTCCTGTTATACCCTTATAAGTCATTGTTATTTTGTTGTCAAAGACAATTTTATTCATGTTGTGTTGTTGTGTCATGTTGTGTTTTCTTCTGTTTTGCTTTTATTTTATTTTATTTTATTTTATTTACACAAAGCACAAAAACTGTTATAACTTTTCATTATTTTATTAATTTTGCGTCGTTTTAAAAAGGGTCATACACCAGAAGCACTGTGCATTTAAGAATTGTAAACATAGGTTTCTATCAGGTTACACACACCGGCGCCGCAAGTCAGCGGCGCCCAGCCATGACTCAGGACACTGTTGATATTTCTGCCATGCCATCAGAGCCTCATCTAATTAGTTTAAGTTTAAATAGCATGCGAATGTACGCGTCTGGTGTGCAATTCATTCAACAGTCATGTGCACGCCATGTCGCGACGCTGAGCGGCACATCCGGTGTGTGATGCCCTTAATCTCTATTAAAGAGGTTGCCACAGCTGAATGGACCACCAACTATGCCAGCAAATGTTTTACACAACAAATGCCCTTCCAGGCACAAGCCAGTACTGGAAAACACCCATACACATTCATTCACACAAACACTCATGCACTACGGCCAATTTATTCATTCATTCATTCATTTTCGGCTTAGCCCTTTTATTCAAAAGGGGGCGCCACAGCGAAATGAACCGCCAACTTTCCCAGCATATGTTTTACACAGCCAATGCTCTTCCAGCTGCAACCTAGTACTGGGAAACATCCATACACACTCATTTACATTACGGCCAATTTAGTTTTCTTCAATTCACCAATAGCGTATGTCTTTGGAATGTGGGGAAAACCGGAGCACCTGGAGGAAAACCACGCCAACACGGGGAGAACATGCAAACTAAACACAGAAACATTAACTGGACTAGCCAGCGACCTTTTGGTTGTGAGGCGACAGTGCTAACAAATAAATAGTTAGTTTGTTGGTTAGTTACATTTTTCACTCAGATCACTTTATTTACCATTTAAAGAGTTAATGTTATCTTCTTGCTCTCAACAGTATCTTATCTGATATACAAATTGAGCACCAGACAGTGAAAGAACATCTTGTTTTTTCTAAAATTCTACAAAGTCTTTGTTGGAGTAAAATGTATAAATGAAAGCATACAAATGCTTGCTTTGGACTGATTTATTTATTGCTCTGTTCATCAGGGCTCCTACAAAAGCCCCTGAAAGCATCAGTGGTTGAATTCTAGCAGATTGAGGATATTTAACTGATATAATGAAAGCTAAGGGGCAGAATGGTGTTGTGGATGCTCTGATTCTTCATCTGATCATCATTCTGCATGCGACTCTTCACTGCTGATGAAGCTTCTGGAGGCTTTTGCTCTTAAAGCATGAAACTGATTACTGAGCTATTAAATGCAGCCCGACAACAAAGTCCATTCTCTACTCTGCTTTACATCATTGTTTGAATCTCTTTCCTGCTGATTTCTCCCTCTTTGAGAGAGAGACTAAAGGAGAAAGTGTTTGGTGGCTCTTTGTCTCCTCTGTCAGTCAAGCTGATCTGGGCTCTGATTAAGTTGCTCTAATTGGACTTTGCTTCAGAATCGACGGGTGAACAATGAGACACTTTAATGAATTGCTCGTGCTGCGGTTTGTGCTGTCGTTTCACAAACTGAGAGCAATTGCTGTGCCGTTAGCACAGAATCACATGCCAAGAGGCGTAGATACAAAGAACTTTATCCTTTAAGTCAAAGAACAAACCAAATAACTCAAAACTCTCTCAGAACACATAAACTGGAGCGCTCAAAAGTGCTTTGTTACAAACTAAAAGACGTCATTGAGGTGTTTCAGGCACTTGAGATGTGATTTTCTGCTTAACCTGTAAGCTCCGAGTTGATTTCTCTGTGTTTTTGTGCTTTGCATGAGCAGAAAGACAGAATGTCCCTGTTTGAAGGCCAGAGGCTCTGCAACTGCTCCAACACTCCACACACAGATGGTGCCTTTACATAACGGACGCATTCATTACATCCACATCATTTCTCAAATCTCACGCTGAAATCATCTCGTCCTTCAGTTTAGAAATCACATGCAACATGTCAGAAGTGTCTTAAGGTCACCAAACAAAACAAACTTCATCTTTTGTACAGGCAGCATCTCTGACGTGACATTTGAACAGTCAGACGGGACTCTCTTTATAGCAAGCGACAAAATAAAGGTCGTGAAAATCTGGAGCCTCATTAAAGGGTTCGGCATGTTTGAAAAGATTCAGTCAAAGGATCCTGCAGGACGTCAATCAATAGAGCAGCAGTAATGAAAAAGGCTCATTAGTGACACGAGAGCATGTGTAGAGCTTTCAAAAGATGCCAATCCTGTTGTACTGTAAATCACAAGACTGTCAACAAGCAATTGATCATCGCGTGTCCTGTGAACAACTGAAAGCTTTATGAAGCGCAGGGAAAAGATTTTGTGACAGAACATCATGTGCTAACTCTTGTGAGAAACAAGCACACTTTAGCACGTCTACTTTAAAAAGAATATATTTGTGTTATTTTCTGGCATACTGCATAAGCACATGCTTTTTTACATTAAAATTGAAATGTACAGTTTAGGATAGTCATTTTAATTACAGCAAATACAAAGCATTACACTTCATTCACAAGGGAAACATATAAGCTAGACTGCTACATTTTCCTCATTAGCACTGAACATTTCAAATGTAATTACAGGTAATGTTATAACTATAAAGTCTCTTAAAAACCTGCTACAGTAGGTAATCCAGCTTAAGCAGTTAGCTGTGTTTTTGAAGATGCTAGCTGGCTAATATGCTACAGAGAAGCAGAATGACAGTCTTGTTCATAACACAACTAAAGCCGGCTTTTCCAGGAGGCAAAGATGAGAAAGAAATGCAGAAAGAAAAGCACCGAAATGTTTGTGTGTGTGTGAAAATGATGAGGGTCTTAACCTTATTAGCAAACTGAGCAACTGCTTCCCAGAGAGCGTTTACAGAGTAAAGCACATGATTAATATTACATGCCTGCTGAAACACACACACACACACATTTGGAGATGAGTGAGCAGACGGCAGAAGAGCGACAGACAGAAGCCCAGAGAGATTGATGCCTACATTCAAATGAATACAGAGAGCTGACAGGAACCCAATGGAGCGAAACGAGTCGTCCAGAACAAACACACTCACACTTACAACTACATACAGCACACACACAAGTCAATACAGCCACAAACACACACTTTCACAACACACGCAAGGTGCGTGCTCTGATTCCCAAGACCAAACACAGGCGCACACGCCTGCAGCACTTTGAGGATCAATAAACTCAAGAACTGTGTTGATATCGACACTCTTCACTTCTTTACACCAAAACGAAACATGAATTCACACAGAACCGACAGAAGGAACAATGAAAAATCTGATGAGAAGAACATTTATCACCAGTTTCAGCAGCGTCACTGAAGCCAGATAAAGATGAAGACATTTCACCGGCCGGCTTACCTAATTTGGGGAGGGAATATTTGACTTTGAAGTAATCCTGGTAAAACTGCAGGAGTCTCTTGGTGATGCGCAGAGCGTAGTCACCCGATCCGCTCTGGATGGCATCAGGTCTGGCGTACAGCCGAATCTACAACAACAACACAACAGAAAACAGAAGTCAAAATGGACTCTTATTCGTCTCCCTTGAGGAGAAATGTAGAGTAAGCCATGGTGAATTTATCTACCAAACGCCTTCATCTGGCTGAATATTTCATTCATCTTTCAAGTGCATCCGCCATCTATTATGCAAAACATTCAAAACTAGAGTGCCACAAAATTAAAAATCAGTAATTTTCACCCAAGAACCTTTTTTTTTTTAAGCAGGGCAACCATGATTGCAATGTTATTATTGAATTATGAAGAACTGCTACCCATAAATCTTAAAAAAAAGATTCACCAGAAAAGTAAGAAAAGTTGCTTTTACCACTGGTTAAATATTTATAAATATATGGTTTAAATATCTATATTTATTTATTTTTTTGCAACTTATGTATGTTATTTTTACCACCATAACTCCATTCATTTGTGTCTCATGATCTTTAGCAAATCAAATAATATACTGATTTAATGTGTAAAACCAACATGTAGTCATCAAACTCACTGAATGTGTTTGATATTTTTTAGATCAGAGATGCCCTAACTAGGGCCTGCAATAGCCACCTTTGCTTTGTCCCTCCCTCCCATCTGAGAAGAGTGATGAGAATGATAGGCATGATTTCAAGTTTGTCTTTTCCAATATAATGTAACTGTTTGTTTGTTTGTTTGTTTGTTTGTTTGTTTGTTTGTTTGTTTGTTTGTTTTATTGTTAAAAGCTGTAATTAAATGTTTCAATTAAATGGTGTAAATGAATCAGATTTTGTTCAAATGTACATACTGTCACCTGACAATGCAGAGACTTTGGTGATCAAATCAAATCAAAGGCAGATTCTGCCTAGTGTATTCAGCATTGAACTCCAATGTGTTATAAATGTGATTGATTATGTTTTTATCGCAATTTCTTAATATTTAAAAAACGATACAGCATTAGTTAATATGATTTAAAGTGATGTTTTCTATTTATTTTGAAATATTCAGAAAAAATAGGAAATTACCCAAGGCAACTTTAATGCATTGTAACTTGGTATATTTACCTTTGACCCTTCGGCTCTCAATGATATTTGGGTCTTTAGAAAAAAGTTTGGGCAGTCCATGCAACAACAGATTTCAGCCTTATTGTCCCCAAAACCATCAAGATACTGTATATGTTATTATTCATCTATAGTATTCAGATACTGCTTATATATTTTAAGGTTTCTCAATAAAATCCTTTTTCATGTCTTCAAGCTGGTTGGCTTGGTTTCATGGAATACAGTAGCCTATACTGATTACTGCTTTAAAACCTTTGGATATGTATAAAAATAATGGGAAAATACTGGGGGAAAACCCAATTGGGGGTGGGGGGGGTTGATGGATAATCAGCTCTTTTGCACTTTTATAAAAATATTGTTTTATATTGTGAGTATGCATTTACGGTAACTGAATTAAGTAGAAATCTGAAATGTTAGATTAATATTAGAATTCAACAGAGATCCTTCATTCTTTGTCAGCAGTAAATAATTAAATGTGTGTGAGAGAGGAAGTGAGAAAGGAGAGAAAACGAGTGTGAAAGAGGAAGTGTGTGAGGTGTGGCTCACTGGGAAATGTATTCCCACTGTGAAAATGATCTTGGACTCTTTTAGCCGAAGGCTTTCTGAACGGTGCAGCTTTCTGAACGGGCATCCATCTAGTCTGAATGAATGTCCTCCTACACTAACAGAGTCAGCCTGCAAAACAAGCAGAAGGAAAGCCTTTGTTTCAGAGCCTGGCAGCAATGTGCATTGAATTATGTGTTGTTTACCGCACATGTTGCTGGCGTATCGATCAGCTCCATGTCTGATGTAAAGATGAATGGCTGGCACTTAGAGCTGAGGAAATGATTGGAAGCTCAATCAAATCAATGTGATTTTAAAACAACCTGTAATTAGACAAAGCGCTCAAGTTGACGATCAAGAGGCGCTTCATTAATCAGCCGTTGTGGAGATTGTTCGCTGACTCCAGTGTCGACTGCTTCATCTGTTTGTTTGTTTGCTTTTTCATGGCGGCAGCGTGACAGAGACTTAAATGGGGTCAATTGAACTGTAATAGACAGATTCTCCACGAGCCGCTGCTCAACATTGATCCATTAATAAGCTCTTTCTGATGAAAAGATGAAGCTTTAGTCGACATTCAGAAAATCACAAGGAGCTCTTGACCTGAAACAAACAACCTGTTGAGTTATTATGCTATACATTCCTGTATATGAGAGATACTTCACATAATCATTTTTCTAAATGTCAAATGAAAATGATATCTTAAAGTTTGTACAATATTCGAACTGTATATGTGATTTATGATACCTTGTTAGAATGGCTCACTAGTCACCATCTATATCAGTACACTACTGATAATAATAATAATAATAACAACTAGAACCTAAAGTTTATTGATAACTTTGATGTTGGCTTGAGAAAGCCAACGTGACTGCGTGCTAGGACTGGGAATGGCAGTTGGCAGGAAGCACGGCGGCGGTTGCTAAGTGGTTGCTAGGCAGTTGCTAAAACAATTGTTAGGTGGTTGCTAAGCAGTTGCTAAATGGCAATACTCGTGTACATGTTTGATCAAATGCTAATACTTAGTAGACATTTCTAGCATATGTTATTGCATTTAGATAATGGTTCATAGCATGTAGCTAATCGTTATTAGCACTTGGCTTCCATTATCATTGTTACCATGCATAGTACACAGGAAGTCCCATTTGCTAGCATGAGTCAAACAAGCCAATGCCCAGGTCCCTACGATGTTCTGATGTAGAGATATTGCTATTTTTAAATGGTTACTAGGTTATAATGTTTTATTGCTATGGGGACATTTGACAGGTTAGTGATGATACATCAAAGCTTCTTGGCAATATGAGTGATCTTAATCAACCCCGATGTTTCTATGACAGTCTTTATGAGTGTCAAAAACTGGACTTGAACATTATGTATTGCTGGTGCTGGGTTGCGGCTGGAAGGGCATTCGCTGTGTAAAACAAATGCTGGATAAGTTGGCGGTTCATTCCGTTGTGGCGACCCCTGATTAATAAAGGGACTAAGGGAATGAACATTATGTGAAAATGGCTTGCCGTATTTTTTTGAAAATACAATGCTTAATAAGTGTGAAAGTAATACATGCAAAAATGGCGTGCCATATCAGTAAAAAATATGGAGGTTAAGTCAAAAATGGCTTGCCATATTTTGAGAAAAATAATGTTTAAAAATTATTTATTGAAAAACTATAGATCTGATAAACCTTAAAGATATAGCAACAAAATCTAACGCATCTAAATACAGCTTTTGGCCAAATTTGGGGCTTGTATAATTTTTTTATATGCTTGGATTATAAAAATTTAATATTTAACATTTTTTACTAAAAAAACAATAAGTCTTATAGGCATGAGGAGATATAGCAACAATCTTGAATGTAGAAGGCACATTTTGACCACATTTGGGCCTTGTGGCATGAACGGCATAGGAGGAGATACATTTGTTTTCAAGGACAGAGTAGCATAACAGTATGTTGACTTTCTCAAGCCAACATAATAACAGTAATATCTTTATCTTTCAGACCCCCAAGTTTTCAGCGATTCCGAAATCGATGAATCCAACACAAAAAAAGACAAAAAGTTGCATATTTCTGTGATCCTGCTTAATTTAAATGCAAAATAATCACAAAACATTTACATAATCTCATAAAAAAAATCCAATTCCAAACCATATAATCAAATTAGATTTATTCCAGTTTGCAATTAATTGTTTTACATGACTTATAGACAATTTGTAAACAGCGTGTGATGTGTTAAAGTGCCTCTCGAGAAATGACCTCTCACTTGTACCCTAAATTATATTTTAACAACTATTTTAATAAATTAAATTAAATTAAATTAAATTAAATTAAATTAAATTAAATTAAATTAAATTAAATTAAATTAAATTAAAAGTTTATTACATTTTAAAATTTTTACGCAATTTAAGTAACCAGCTTGGATCAGAACATCCATTCTGTCATAAGTAGATTTTTTCAAACAATTAGTATTCTACAGCTAAAACCATAATTTTGCCCATTAAATGCTGTAAACATGCTTTTTGATCTGGCTGAGTAATTTCATGAATATCTAATGAGCACATGTAGTATGGTGGTGCTGAATGTTGATTAGATATTAGCGGAACATTTGTCATTTTAATGATAAGATAAATAAAAACTGACTGACACTAAACCAGAGGATTTAATATCGACTGATATTAAACACGGTGTTGTGAATCAAACATGATGCTTTCAGACAATCAGATTACAAGAACCTCTTATTTGAGCAGCTTCAGTAATATATCCAACTAAACAGAATGGCTGGTCAGAAAGGGAAATTTTGTTGAGTAATAATCTGTTTAAATGGATGGATGTGCAGATGAATGGACGCAAGACAGATGGATGGACAGATGAGCAAATCATGCTTTAAAGGCAATTAAAATACCAATATCTCCTATTTTAGAAGTAATATAATATGCCTGGTCAGAGGAAGAGGGGCTCTATTGTGTGTTTGTATTTGTTTGCGTGAGAAATCATCAGTCGAATAGCCCTGGGGGTCAAATTATAATATGTGACGCACTAGAGAGAGTCAATACAGGCGAAACAAAGGTCACGTTGACCATAGCTGAGGCATGTGATGTTGAAGACTCAGCATTTTTTCACACAAAGCAGCAGGTTGAATATACCCTGTAGGCCGGTGAGGACAGATAAAACAAATGATCCAGGCTCACACTTCAAATCATTTTGGAGAGTAGGCCACAGAAGGCACAATCATTCACTGTCTGGTTTGGGCAAATGAAAGATTTTTTCTGCATATATTGTGTGTTGGACATCGCTCCCAGAGGTTGCAGGAATGGCTTGCTCATAACTTAACATAAGGTGAAATTAAAGTTGAATTGAATTAATTCACAATTGCAAGTAATACTACTCTTGAGGGAGTCTTAAAATTACAATCTGGTTATATCGCGG